TCTGAAATTTCTGTCGGTCGTGTTAGTCATTTTACTTGTCATATTTTAAAAGTTATGTTTCGATATCGATATCGCGTCGTTCGGTAAACAATTTGTGTTTGAGCACTGGTACAAAGTACAAATTTTTGCAGAATTGTAAATCTCCTGTAGGTTTGTTTAAGGATAATAGAAAGACCCAGTCTTTCGCTCATCACTCGTGATTAAACAAATCGGACTCCCACTACGCGGTCGTCCGATTTTGATAATCACCCGTATGATCACAGACCGAACTGGACTCCACTCAGTCCTGTTACCATTACTTATACAAACCTACACACGTTCTGCAGAAACCACCATAGTATAATATTTTCTAACGGGGCAAGGCACCCTGTTACATCCAGCAGAAACGACGGGAATTTGCAAACCGCACCAGATTAAGTAATGTTATAATCTTCAACATGATTTCCATTCAGCACCAAATGAAAGAAAACAGAGTGCCAATCGATAAACGTTCTCGTCCAGAGTGAGGACGAAAAATTCATTAACATTTATTTATCGGTTAACTAAAATTACAGCAATGAAATTTTAACTGTATAATAAAATACGCCAGGTGTGAATCCATGTTTCCGTTAGCCAAACTTACTCGAAAAACACTTAAAATTTCAAATTACAAGAGAGAATCACAAATTCAGGTCGTAATAATTTGATGATTTTTTTTTTTTTTGCACTAACAGACCATAAACATTTCCTTGACTCCAAATAAAGGGGAAAAAATCATCGCATTACCTCTTCTGAATTAAGTAGTTTTTCGTGTGTCGTGAGGCAATGTTTGGGTTTCATAATGAATAAGTCTTCACGTGTGAAGAACAGAGGTTGAAAAAACCGACATAACTTTCAACGTAATATCTTAAAGATTATATCTCAAAGAAGTAACAACTACTGACAATCAAATTTGAATCTAGTTTTGTTTTTAATATACGAAGTACCAAAACCTTTTGAACTGAAATCTTAGCGAATAACCTAATGTGAATAAGACAGTGTTAGATTCTGGATTCTAAGCTGTTGATTCCGGATACAGGTACTGAATCCCAGCTCCCTTTTCAGAGGAACTTAGATTCCGAATTCCGACCAGTTGTAGCCAATTCACTAACTGAGGTGTGAAGAAATTAATTGCGTCCTGCTTCACGGAGATTTTCTTTCTTTTTTTTTTTAAAAAACTCCGTCATAGAGTTACTGCTGACAGCAAACAACGGTATGTCAAGTGGTTGGTGCAAGACATAACCACACAGTTCCGATTATTTTCTTCTCCGAGCACCCCTCTTTTTGTATTAATCCACGGTTTTAATAAAGGAGACAACCCCGGGACTCTTGAACTGACCAAATTTTCTTCGTATCGCTCCTCTGTTCCAATGACCGCTTTCCCCTCGCCGGCACTCACTTTCGTACTGGAGATTCTAGTGTAGTGTTACAGTATATTTTTTACGGGTTATGGGCGCTCTCCTCCACAGAAGTTCGTTTAGGTGTTATTGTATTTCCACTGTGCGAAGTGAGTGGAGGCGAAAATTGAAAGATTCAACAAAAATTTTGTGCTCAACCTCGCCATGCCCCTTTGAGCCTCTGTGGAGGAGACAGGACTGTGGGAATGGGCGGCGAAAACAACTCGCGTCGCACGAGGTACTTATGAGATCTGTCCCTGCCTCATGTGGCGAGTTAAAGCTGAAACATGTATATTCTACTGACTCGTGTTTCCTTGGATTGGAAGAAACAATTTTAATCTTCTATTATCTGCTTAACACTTGACAGACCCACAGAAAAGACGTAATATAGTTAGCATAACTAGGAAATTGAACTATTTATCTTGTCTCGTCCTTTAACAGCTTCTGATTGCTAACCATTGCTGGACATGAGCTCAACCTGTTGAATTATAAACCAAAAAAAAAAAGATAAAGGAAATCAGTAAAGGTTAGTTCTAAATTGCCGCATTAAGAATTGTCTCAATAGTACGGCCTTAGTTTCTTAGAGAACTCTGGAATAAATGGTAAACGCGAAAAAATCACTATCTGATTGTTAATTCCGAGATGGAGTACAGGTCAAACAACGTTATCTCTAGTTAATGACTCGGCCTTAACGAGTATCAGGTATTCGGAGAGACAATTTTAGGCTGTATATTCATTATAAATGTATTAAACTTGAAGATACACAGATTTTATGAGTAGGTAATGGCATGGATTTGTCAACAAACTGCATAAAAAGTGTCAGCAAAACTGAGTTTTCATTCCAGAATAGTTTGCAAAGATAACTTTGTGACAAAACGGGAATTGCGGTCTTAAACTCCTCACTAGTTTCTTGGTGCACGTTGTAAAATTATTCCAAATTACCATGATCATTTGTTTTTCTTCGATTCTTTGTCTTAGCTACGTTTCAGAACATCAATAGCCTTTTCCTAGTGTTTTTTTTTTCTTTTTTTACGTTGCTTTTTTGTTAGTTTGTTTGTCGTTTTAGTATAGCTGTTTATAGACCTTTTATAAAAAAAACACAGAATGCGGAAACCCAATGCTAGTATAAGTACGTTACGTACCTACAACACCAGCAGAAATTGAAATTTTGTCCTTAGAGCACCGGTTATCTACCAGGCAGAAAGGTGGAGGGATGAAAAATGGATCTTTCAGCAACTTGAAGAAGTTTTCCTTTATGTCGTTCTGGACGTTAGTATCATGCGCGTCGCCATTGTAGGAGTAATAATGCATCCAGTCACGTTTATTAATCTCTGAAGGACCAGCATTGACTGAGAGAAAAATAATATCCAGTTACAGTTTTTTTTTTTTAACTACAATCAAACCTCCCGTATGCAACCACCCAAAACAATAACGCAAACTTAGGGACGGACCATTAGAAAACTTATGGGGGGGGGGGGGCGAGAAGTACCAAAAAAATATTCGCGCAAGGAAAATTAAATGAAAAAAGATTCATGCACGCCAATTAACCCTAAAAAATATTCATGCTATGGCCTAAAAAATTTCATACAAGGAATTTGATAACGAAAAACAATTCCCCCCCCCCGCCATAAGTTTTCTAATGGTCCGCCCCTTACGGGAGATGGCTGCTTACGTAAACCCTGTTTCGAGAAGAGATCTGGACTGATCATTTTTACGAAACTAATCGCCCCGTATGAGGGAAAATCCGGATTCCGAAATCTGGGAAATTTCTCATTGTGGAATCCGAAATGCAGGAAAATTTTCCTGTGGAATCCGGAATCCTGGGCTTTGGAATCTGGAATATAGCTTTAGGAATCCGGAATCCTATTAAGGATTGGAATCCAGAATCTAAGTTCCACTGACCAAGAATCCGGAATCCAGTACCTGGAGTCCGAAATCCACGGTGTGGAATCCAGAATTCAAGACTGCCTTGGATTCCCTTTCAAGGGGTTAAACTAAGATCAGTAATTTATAAATTATTGCATGCAACGTTTAATTTACGATATGTGTAGTCCCATTTTGTTACTGGAAGTAGAAGTTCCTTATGTACTGTGTGTAGCATATTACATACAGCGAAGATATAAATCAAGTGGTCGCTTACAAGAGGTTAAAAATAATAGTAAAACATAACGGCAGCCCCAGGAGGTCATAGGTTCCAATCCTGTCAGGGACTAAGATTTTTTCTTGGTCCCACGCTCGTGACATACTGATTAAAACATCTTCACAAGAATGAAATAGTAACCGGAACAGTTAGGCCAGGAAAAAGGTCCCTTTAGTGAGATAAAAAATCTCAGTTGGTGATAAACGAAGTTTTAAACATATGAAAAAACTGACTAACTGAATGAAGCGTTGAATTGACGACGACTGAGCTGAAGAGGGGAATAACAAAAAAATAATAATAAAAGACTTACAGGAGCAGTTAGGCCAGGGATTAGAATTTTTGTAACGTGTAAGCAACCCCCTCCAGTAATTCCACTCCCCACCAGAACAATAGTACAACAGAGGGGGAGTATCTTCAAAGTCAGTTCCGTTGCTGCACATTACTGCACAATGCAAATAAAATTCTGATGTCATGCAGGCCAGGGCACCGTTGCGTGGTGGAGGAAAAATCTGGCAGGTTCTTTCTGTGGAGAAAAAAAAATAAACAAATCAAAGTCAAGTCAAGTTTGGTTAGCCACATTTCCCCTGTGACTGTTAGAGGATGTCAGCATTTCACGGTTCCTAACAAACACATATAGAAGTAAAGTAACTACTACATAAACTAATTAAGAAGAGACCTCCCTTGTTACAAAGTTTGCAAAGTGGTCAGTGTTGTGTTGGCCATATCGATGCGACAGTCAGGCTTATAGACAGCTGATTAGAGGTTATAGTCATGGATACGGATTTCATTATAAGGGAGGGTCAGACTCTCACGTTCTAGTAGTCCTTAGACTCGTCTTTTCTATATGTTTGTACCTTCAGTTGGTAGCAAATGCCTCATGTATATCGTCTCGCCGTGCATGTAACAATTTAAAGGAGGAAATTTTTAGGGTATCAACGAACTCTCTACGCGTGTTGCGGCAATTAACAATGGGAAGAGTTTTAATTAATTTGCGCTGAGCAGACTAAAATAAGTTTTTTAAGTATGGGGGGAAAGACTCGCCCAAACAATCGATGCATATATTTATACGACTGCATGTATTCAGCGACTGACTGGATAACTAAGAGCGCAATATATGATTGCGAGATTGGTATCTCTTAAGCAGCTTTAATGCATGGGGCTCTGCTTTCTGGCTTTCTCTTAACTGCCATCACCACCAGTAATCTCCCTACCTCATTATACAACTCACTTTTCAATATGATCCTGAATGTACAGTTTTTGTTTTCGTTACCAGACCGGTCCCTTGCAATATATGTATTTTTATAGTTTCCAGGAACCCGAAATGTTGCTCCAGTTTGAAAGCTTGAAGTGACAGAGGGAAGCACCCCCGAATTGTCAGAGAACACTGGATGCTTCCAATTCACTCTTATCAGAGAAACTTTCTCTTCACGCACAATGTCCTTGGGGCATTCGCTAAACGTTGGTGGCTCATTATCTGTGAGAGAAAGCATTACAAAAGAAAATTTATAGCTTTCTATCAGGGATTTCTTTCTATAACACAGTACATTTTGCAGTTAAGAAGACAAGAAGAGTACGTTCTCCATGCACTCTCTCCACCCCGACCCCGCGCTAAATTTTCGCTCAATCCTGTAATGCCGATGGGTATTTTCCGCATCACACATCCCGTTCATACTTTCACTCCCGAATCTCAATTTTCTGTAAAATCGTGAATACCAGCTTCCAGATAAGCATGCAAATCCCAGATCCCGAGAAACGTATAGGAGACCCTCGACAAAGCTTAGCAGCTCCTTGAACCTTATGCGTACAATTATTCATTCAAAACATGCACCGATGTATTTAATATTGTCTCTATACATTTCTTGCTGCATTCGCCTGAGAATACAGCCGTCAACTCCTCGCTTCTCTCAGCTCGAGAAGCCCAAGCTACTGTTGCATTGATGAAGAAAATATAGTTCTCTCTAGTTGGTTATCATTTTCAGTATTCTCAAGACCGTTATTTTTCATTAAAATCAGTGCCGCCATTGTAAGGAGATGTTTAATGATAATTTGTGTCATAAGGGTGCAAAGGGTTTCAAGCCAGCTAGCCAGCGTACCAGGAGCATGAGGGATGTGTTCCTTACCTCTGATTTCAACTTTAAAGATACATTCACGGCCGACATTCCCAGCACTGTCAGTGGCGATAATACGGACTACAGTCACGCCAATGGGAAATTCTTGAGAAGGCTGATGACTTGAGTCTACAGTTATCTTTGCATTGGGATCCACAATCTCAGAGTTATCTGTCACCTTGATGCTCCATGATACCTTTCCTGTTGCTTTTCCTTTGGTGGTAACTCCTCTTATTTTAGACAGGGGACAGGACATTCTTGGAGGCTGGCGATCTATACACGTACATTGATTTTTAAGTTCAGACTAAAACAGGTTGAAAGAAAAGTGGTGACTAATCTCATATGCTTATTTGTGTGTATTAAAAGCACCGTCTACTTATTGAAAACTAACACTAACTGGAGAATGGTAAGTGCGTTCGAATTTTAGCTGACAAAAGAGCCCACATTTCGCGAAGCCATCTAGGGAATGGGTCCTCTAATTCCAAACAGATGCTGTGTCACTACACCGATCTGCTGATTGGTTGAAATTTTACCCGAGCTGGGGAGTGATCAAAATAGAATTGCGCATTGAGTTTAGAAGGCGTTCTCCTAGCGTCGAACGTAAAAAACCCGAACAGGGAAAAGGAGAAAGAAAAAATGAAATACTTACCGACGCAATCAGGAACTTGAAAGTCCCATGTACCATTATGCAGACACCCTAAATAAGCTTTACTCTCATGTAGTTCATCATCAGTAAAGTACCCGTCAGGACAGCGAAATTGACACGATCTACCAAATTTTATTGGCTGGGTGACACACTCCGGGGGTTGCACAGTTGCAAACTTGACAGGCGAAAGTTTAGGGCAGTAAATTGCTAAGAAAGAAAGCGGATAAAAATGAAGATAAATCTTCCCTCACCAAGGGCATGAACTACTGAATTAAAAGCTGAACCACTCAGTTTTGAATAATTCTAAAACCAACTTAGTTTTGTAACATCGTAGCTTGCCCGAAAGACAAACTGCATCAATTGCCCAATTAATTTAGTTGTATAGACCGTTTGTACTTAGAAGTCATTTGACATCACTTTTATGAAAATGAAATTTATATGATTTTACCTTCGAAAAACGATTAGTGGGTTATGTTTTAAACAAAATAATAGTGATTTGGTTTTTCAAACCCTTCACTATTTTGTTAAAATAAGTAAGTTCGTAGCTGGTCACATAACCAGTGTGATTTTTAAACTAATGAATTACCTCTTTCTGAAAACAAATTTGGCACTTAAATTTCAAGGAAAATGTTGAAAAGATTATGTGGTAACGTTTGCAGCACATCTGAGCCTAACTATCAAGCTTTTAACAAGACACAAGCAAAAAGTAGTTTTGGTTGTCATGTTGGAGGGCAAATGTATGCCCTCTAACATGGCGGCCAATACAAATCATTCTACTTCGTTGAAAAATGAAAGTGCCATAAAATATGTACGTTAAGTGTGTATCCTCTCAAATTTCGGGTGTAAGATAAGTTCTGTCAATTTCTGGCATTAGAGCAAGATTCCAGCTCGCTTTAGTCACGTGACCTCTCAGTGCAAGTGGCCTACCGGGGGTATTCCTCGTTGTTTGAGTGGGCGCTTAGTGATCCAAAATGAAGGATGGATTTATTGGTAGCATTGACCCGTATAGCCGTAACATTTGCCCCGTGCATAGTTAATAAAGTGTAATGAAACCCGTTACAATTATTTGTTATATGCATTGTTGGCTTTTCAGACTTCGGACCTTGAACAACAACATTCCTATCATTTTGAATTTCACATTTATTACCAACGAGGCAACCGAGCTAAGAAGCAGAATTATATAACTCCCTGCAATGTAGGCAAAAACTCTCAAATTCTGCGTGACCCTCTAAAATTTGCATTTTTGACCACATTTGGGTGTAAGTAAGACCCCATATTTGGGTAGTGACGTCATGGTCTTGTATTGTATTTACAACTCGTGGTCCGAAATTGGATGATTCAGTGTGCAACTGTTCCTTGTCTGTTCAAGAGGACCTAACAGGTGAGCAAGCTTTAATACAATTTCTAGTTTGAAAGGGCAATAAGTGCTCTGATTTGCTTTATAAATTGCGTTTAAAGCAGCAGCTGATCAAGGAATAGGGTTTTACGCTCAAATTTTTGTTAGAACCAGCTTGTTTTTTGCAGTTCGATTTACATTGAGGTAGCGTGTTCTCTTCTCTACTCAGAACCAGGGTTTCAGTGTTCTCCTTTCCTTTGTGAAAAGGCATATTCTCAAAACTTTTATCAGAACCAGCGTGGTCTTTGCAGGTCGATTTACATTGAGCCAGTCCTCACCTCCCGTGAATACAACGTATTTGCAGACATTTGTTTCTTAGAGTTTATTCATTTCTTTCGAGAGATTTTGTCAACCAGCATGCTTTTTGCAGCTCGATTTACATTGAGACAGCCCTAAACTCCCGTGAGGAATGCATCGAATTTGCGGACCTTTTGTTTTGAAGACTATCATTATGCCTTTCGAGAGACTCTTTGTCCCGTAACACTCGCTCATTAGATCTTTGTATTTCATTCAAGTTTATATTTTCATACCTCTGATACATTCCGCCCCATTCTTGCGCTTTTGACGCATTTTACTTTACACCAATTTTTTCCTATGTATCACGCGAAATATTTTTCTTATCCCTGATGACACTGTTGCTCAAAATTTAATTATTATTTTTAATTTAAGCAGTCAAAGGCCTCATTTGAACTAATTTTTCTTTCTAACGTTTATAGTTTTGATACAATGGAATTTTCCATGAAACAAGTGCTAACTTGCTCATATTTACCAACTGAGCTTCAAGCCATGTTGTTTAATAAAAGTGAAAGCCTAGAATGTACCAAAGTTGTTGTTTCAAAGTTGGGTACCATCCTTTTCTATAGCGGAATCCATTTTAAACCTCTAAAATTATGAAAGAAATCGCAAAGATCTCAATAGGCACGTTCCACAAAAGATAAACGAATCCGCCTCGTTGCCACTTGCCGCGGAAGGTAGCCCTAGTTTATTCAGTCACAATTTGTAAATACAAAAAAAATTTTGTGCACGGTCAAGAAGCTTCCAAGGTCCAACATAAACTGGCCCAGCACTGTTGTTTTCATCTTTGATGTTTCCCGGCTTTTCAACCAGTCTCCTCTACAAACTATGCCATCTGGAACTTCCAATTAAGTTCCAAAAATAATGAATTTCAACTGTTAATTTTGACAGCAGTAAATAAGTATCATGACGTATACTTCAAATGAATCCACGCTACATTTATTTTTATAATTTGAAACTGAAATCCTTAAAAGAAACTGTTTATTCAGAGTAAACGCTCATCCAACCTGATATGTCATATCTGTTTAAACTTTGTATCGAAGGATAAAACATTAAGACTGTTCATAGCTTTCTTTCCCAACAAAGGGGGCAGTGTAAAATGCAGACTGCAGACTGACAGCGGACTATTGTTTTTAGGGTACAATGGGACTATTATTGTCACGTACTTATTTGTATGGTGAAAAAAATAGTCCGCAGTCTGCGTTTTACACGGCTGACCGCCAACAGAACACATTTAATCATAAAATTTATTTTAGTCGAGTCACATTCCAATACCTTCACAAATCGTTGGAATTCCAGACCAAGTTTTGTCGAGTTGACAAACACGCTCCTTGGAGCCTTTTAGCCGGTACCCACGATCACATTTAAAGGAGCAGCGGGTCTTGTAGCGCGGGACATAAGGAGCTGATGAACACACTCCAGAAGGTGGATTGGCGTTAGATACATGAACTAGTGGACATCTAATAGCTAAGAATAAAATAGAAGATACACGATTTATTGGACATGTTATAGCTAAAACTAAAATAAGTAGGGTAATGGTAGTAACTTATTGCTTCAAAGACATCATCATCATCATCATCATCATCATCATCATTAACGTCATCATCATCATCTATTTATCCTACATAAGTTTGAAGAAATCAAAATCTATTTGTCGTCCCGAAATACGAACATGCACAATAGGCCTAGGGTATTTTGGGCAATGAGGCCCCCAAAAATGTGTAGGGTCAGCTTGATATCAATCGCTTATGGCATCAGGATCACCGTAGTTAAAGTGGAATGATTATGAAAGCTGTTCGACTCCGTTCAATCGCATTCCTATCATTTTTGAACCCACTGACCAATAGAAACATCGCATTAATCTATTCAGTCACAATTTGTGAGCAAAAACAAAAAAATTGTGCACGATCAGGGACCGTTCCAACATTGTTCCGTTGTTTCAAATTTGATGTTTGCCGGCTTTCATAACCAGACTCCTCTACTAACTATGGGATCACATGACGTTTATCTTACGAGAGCAATAAGGAAGTCCTCCTGTCCACTCCATGTGATTGTTTTTATTCACGATGCACTTTCTCTCCGCATGCGCACTTCCTCCTTCTAATTCATAACCTTCATTACATTTGATGCGGCAAATTGAGTTGTATTCAGAGTTGCAGACACCAACTAAGGACCCATTTATTGGAGGGGCAAACGGATCACAAAGTCTAACTGTTGAAAATAATAAAGCACATTATTAAAAAACGAATCATTGAATAATGCAATTCAAGAACTCTGATTAGCTTAGCCATCATATCAGCCATTATACCAAGCTCTCCAAATATCGTAACTGTACGCGTCTGATCAAATTTAAAAACAAGCTGAAAATCGGTTGTTTTTACAAATAAAGTCGGGAATAATTCTTGATATTTTGTGAGCGGTTTTTAATAAAACAATTATTCCACTCGTGCTTGCTGGATATGAGATGATTATAGCCAACTCGGCGCTATGCGCCTTGTTGGCTATCCACCATTTCATATCCAACGCGCACTCGTGGAATCATTGTTAAATAGACGCCGCAGTAAACAAATCATATATCAAAAATGATACGTTCTTTGTAATTCGGTAGGCAAGGAGGGAAAAGTCTAAAGCAAGTAACGGCTATGTAAAAGCAATAACGTCGTTATCAAATGGTGAAACTGGAAGGTAGCTATCAGGGGAGCGGAAATATAAATGTGGGGGAAAACAGATAAAATGAAGTAAAGTAGACAAACTGCAAACTTCTTTCTTACTTGTGCATGGAATGTCCTGCATTGGGTCCCCTGAATACCCTTTCAAGCATTTGCAGTCACTGAAAATATGACTTCCAAGAAGGTTATGACCCGAATTTACCGGGCAAGGCTTACAGGAACTTGCAAAGCCAATGTAATCTTTGTATGTGTTATGTGGACATTCTAACATTTCATGGAAAAAAAAAGATATAAATAAATTAAACCCAAAATTAATTTTGAGTAGCTAGAAAGCAGGGGAATTATGCACTGTGCAGAGATTAATACTGTGGGCGTCTCTATCCATTCTTTGAGCAACCAGGACCTGATTTAGGAAAGGCTGAATCGCTCGATCCAAAGGAAACTTTCATGTTAGTTTGGTCAGTATCCTTTAAATCACAAACACGCGTGGAGGCACGATAAAATAAAAGATTTGAGGAAATTTTTTGTTGTATGAACCATCTGAACTATCAAAATAAAGAAAGAAAGAATTTGTCTCGAAATCTGCGCCAAGACAGAGCGCCCAGACATTAATCATAAAGCTTTCAAAATTATAATTCTCGGTCGCGAATTTTGAAAGCAGTTTCTCACAGTCTCTCAAAGTCTCGAATTGACCGTACTATATGCCTTTTCATAATTCGCTCTGGGTGCCAAACGTTAACATACTCTGAACTTTTATAAATGTGCATGGATAAATTGTCTTTGACCATTTAAGTATGGGCTGGCATCCCTCGTTTGTAAGTCTACTAAGTTGATGACCAATAAAGTGCGATTTGGTAAAGCTTCTCAAGATGTCAATCCCGATCCCTTTTAAGTCACGATGAATATAAAAAAAATCTATACAATATTACACGGACGCTTTGCGATTTCCCCTAGCTGATATGGTTGGCAAAGCATATGGAAACATGAAAAAAAGAAACAACTCTCTCATCAGATTGTCATCAGTAAGACCCTAAGTGTCTAACTGAGCATGGCTGAGACCGAAAACAACGCAGCTTCCGAAGTACGTCAGAAATCCTTAGGCTATTATATTAGGTCGAATAACAGACCCACCTCTACATGCTTGCCCTTTGGAACCAAAGAACCCAGCGTGGCATGGCACCTGAGCGGAGCAACAAGTTACTAAACACGCCAGAAACACCACTCCCTTAAACATGACTAGACTTCCACCCAGCGGCTTAGTAAGAAAATTAAAGCTGCTTACAGATTTTAGTCTACCTTGTCGTTTAGCCTTACGCAAATGAAGCAGTACACTGTCAGTTTCATAATTAAAGTAATAAATTTTAATGCTCGATATGAGACTCAACAGGTGGGAAAACAATCTTTGTACACACTCCTTTGTGTATCCACATTAAAAAGGAATTTTAACTTCCAAGAAAAAGATGAACTACAGTTATGAATATCATACTACTAGTATAAAAGTGACTTCGTTATAGCACTCACGGACCAACTTTTGACACAAAAACTGAAGAGATTAAAACATCTCATTACCTCTCCATAGCTAAAAGCCGTTTATTATAACGCAAAATGGTTTGTCTTTCATATGAATTTCGTCAGGTGAGATAACACTTTTGACTGATAATATTTTTTAAAATGGAGGCTGACAAAGCATGATTTGTACTTTATTAGCTCTAATATATCCTAAACAAATATCGGCATCCACTCTTTTTAAATTATGTCTTAACTTACATTTGAATCCCGAGCGTTCTTTTTTTTTTTTTTTTTTTTTTTTTTTTTTAAAGTATTTATATGTCTTCTGTTCTTTGCTTAAAAAACTTTAAAAACCTTAAAATATATTAGGGTAAACCATAGAGCGGAAATATCATAATTTATGATAAAGATAACATGAGTCAAAAAGGGAAAAAACGAAGGTTTTAATGTTTCCAAACAATTTACTGAGTAGGGTTCCAAAATGAGTTTACACTCTCCTATCTCCTGATTTATTTAAGATTGAGGGCAAAATTGGTTGATTTATTGTCGCCTGTTGACAGATCTTTGTCATCTTTATTAACTAGACTCCCTTGCAAATTATTGTTAGCGGTTTTTAAACAAAGTAGATGTTTGGCCTTTTTTCTTCAGTGATCAAAGTGATATTCAAAGGATCATTTTACATGATTCATGATTAAATCAACTTTAGCGAGTAATTGTAACTTCAGCTATTTTTTAATCCGCAGTCACAGTGATTTGGGTATCCCTGTGTGGGTATGCCTGTGCCCAAATCACCAGTAATATGGGTATCACTGTGATACCGCGTCTAAGCGGCTTCCGCTCTCTCTCTCCACCCTAAACATACTCGCAGGCAGGCAATGATTTATCACAGCTGATAACATTTCAGTGTTCACGGTTTATTGATTACGCCAACGCTAATACATGCAGACTTTAGCAATGCTTTGATTATAATAAGGACGTAAATAAAGTGCGCCTTTAGCGACCTTTATATTCGCTTCAGTTTGCTTCAAAACCACTGGAATCAACCTGTCATTAAGAGAAAACAAATACATAAAAAGTTGAGTAAAAATATAACTCCTTCACCCCACTTTACTTTTTACAAAGCAAGATAAGGAAATTATTATAACGCTTCATTTTGCCGCTTAGACGGTGCATCTAAACTAACAAGTTCCTAAACCAGAGTCATCAGCCAATGTTTGCAGTGTGAGCTGGGCTTTGTTAGGGGCTTATGATGCGATGTAAGACGATCCAGGAGGATGGGACAATCACAACTGCCTACATAGAACTGAGGTTCATAATTATATCAATGGTTTAGTTTGGTTTCCACATAATCAGGGGTCTTGATAGTCGTATCGCTTGCAGGATTTGAGATTTACCTTTAATCCCAGGAGAAACGAAGATATCCTGCTCCGAGCATGAACTGGGGTTAGACAAGCAAAAGAAAGGAGGAACAATGGGCGACGTCAACAACTGGTAGAACTTTTCTTTGATGGAGACTTGGACGTTAAGATCATGCGCATCTCCATCAAAGTAGTGATATTGCTCGCTCCACGATTTGATCGATGACGATGGATTCACCCCAGCTGCATTAAAAAAAAAAAAAAAAAGAAAATGAAAATGAAAAAAAGTTAAGTCCCATTTCAAAAGACCTTTAAAACAATGGCATCTGGCTTTCTCACATGGTTATTCCGGATCTTATATAACTGTAACTTAAAAAGACCTTATAGTTATCTGTTATTGTCTTAAACGGAAAAAAACTTCTAGCTTGCTTTACATATACTCATTTTAGTGGCACAAACCCAAACAAAGAAATGAATGAACTGCGAAAATGATGAACGCATTGATAAAGATGGACCATATTAGATAAAGAAAAGGAATTAAAAAAACTGAGTCATCTAGACACGGTATAAACAGAAATTGTGGGACTGAAATTTGTCAGCCATGTTAGTCATCATGTTATTTGTCATATTTTAAAAGTTACGTTTCGATATCACATCGTGTGTTTGAGCAAAATTGTAAAGTACAAATTTCCCAAGATTGTAAATCCTCTATAGGTTTGTTGCTATTGAAACTTCAAGAGTCTTGATTTGTAGTATGACTGAACAGATCGGACATATCTTGATCTCTTTTTCAATACGATAAGTAGACCTGTGTATAAGACCAAAATGGGACACCCCAATTAATTGGTACTTACTAGTGCTTCAGTGCATATATTGGTACTGCATAAGGTGGTAATTCTAAAAAACTAAGCTCTCAAGAGGTAGCCTGTTCCAGGTTCCAAGATAGTGGGGAAAGCGGATCGAAAAAATTGCGCAAAACCCGGTGGGGGCTTAGGAAAGAGGAGGATATTTTTGCTCGCTCGCTTTTTTACTGCCAGTCGCTCTTTTCGCTCGTCTTCACTGACCGAGAGTTTGGCTGGGACAGGCTACTCAAGAGGACTGGAAAAAAAGAATTATTAAGAGCTCTTACCAGTACAGTTTGGCCAGGGTAAAGTCGAACTGAAAGACATGTGAGGGAGCGAATAGAAATTCCACTGTCCAGCTGAACAGAAGTACAGTAATGGGACGTTAAACTCAAAGTCAGTACCAGTCTGACACATGACCGCACAAGTATTATCACCACCGTTACTAACGCACGCTAGGGCTCCGTTTTTAGGAGGCGGGTATAAAGGACACGTTTTTTCTGCAAGAAAACACAACAAAACTTGTTTCCCCTGATTGTTTAGCTTAAAGGTTTAAAACATTGAAAATTTGGGTTTAGAGAAAAACAACAATGTTAACTTAGTTCAGTCCGACTAATAATGTATAAATGAAACAATTGACCGACCGAATCAAGATGTAATCCAAACGTAAATCGTCTCTTCAGGGTCGGATCAAGGAATTTTTGTCTGACGGGGTCCAGCTTGTCCAGCTAGTTGAAGCCAATTATTTTCATTCTCCATCTGCGTTATACATTCATGGTTTTTCTAAGCCATAGATCCTCCCCTTGCTTCTGCCCCTCAATGGGAACGACAAAAGTAGGCCGACTTAGCAATTACAGCACGTCAATTCCAGCCTTTGTTTAATATATCCATTGTTCCTTAGTTTTCTTGTTGATATTTTAACATTGTTTAATAAATGTATTTATATTCAGGCTCTCCTTACCTATTTTTTACACTTACATTATTATCGCCATATCTATACTCTGGTTTCTGCTTGTGGCTGTTGCAGTTGTTGATTTAACTGGTCTAAGCAGAAGAACTGCCTTTTTGATAACATGTCTTGTGTTAAAAATATCAAATGTGTTATTACTTTTTTTCAAAATAGTCTCAATGCCATGAAACTTATTGCACTAAAACTACTCGCATAGAAAAGTGAAAACTTGCAACTAAAAGTCTGTATGTGATTATCAGTATAGCAGCGCAGTTCGTGAAACAGTGCTGAAAATTTAGTAACTTAAGAATGAGTAAATCTTACTTTTCAGTGTTATCCTGAATGAACAATTTTTGTTCTGATTATTTGACAGGTCGCTTGCGGTATACACAATTTGATAGGTGCCGGGGACAGCAAATAGTTCTCCTATTTGTCTGTTTGAGACGACCGCGACACTTCCCGAATTGTCGGAGAAAACTGGTCTCGTCCAGTGTACTCTCACTTCTCTGTCTTCCTCTTCTCGGACAATATCTCCTGGACACTGCTTGATGATAGGTGCTTCAATATCTAAAGTAAAATGACATTGTAAAAGAAAAGGTCAAGATATCCATCGTACGAGACAAAGGGCATGCGCATACTACTCTCTTCCCCACAGAGGCCTTTTTGTGTTGTAGGAAGGTTGGAAAGAAGAGAAAAATAAACAGAAAACGCGCGAAGGGGTTGGGGAAAAGAAAAAAAGGAAGTGCGCGTGGACCGATGGGAATTTTCATTCCGTTTATTAAGGCCGCTATAGCATTTTATGGAACAGCGTCTAACTTCTTCCTCGTTCCGTTAAACATCAGAAAACTTTTTATTACAAAGAAGTTGCCAATTGTTTCGTTTTTGTTCCAAACGGCGGCTCGCTACTCACAATACCACGCACTTAGTAGATAGTAGGTGCTTTGGCCAAACAGTAGACTACGAGTAGTCTCTCTTTGCTCTCCCTGCGGACCCTTTTTAGGTGCATTTTTCAGTTTCCGAGTAACCATTCCAATACAATACAATACTTTATTCAAGAGATAAAAACTAAAGTTACAAAATATCTCTCGAAAGGGGATATCTAGAAGTTAACCCTATATAAAAGATTCACCAAGATAAAATATAAAAAGATAAAATCTAGAATCTAAAACATTATAAACAGAGAGAAAAATCTAAAACCTAAAAAATAGTAAAAAACATAATTTGCATATCATAATTGAAACTGTTTACAAACGTATTAATCAATGTTTATATTAATCCTAATCTGATGCGAAATAAAGTCAGCGATCTTGCGTGTACAACATCTTTAGGCAAGTTATTCCACGCATTAACGATCCGTACAACACGTAAGATCACGTAAGTGCTCCGTTGTCGCAACAAAAATCCTCTGCACCCCCCCCCCCTTCTCTCCTCCAGGCGATACATAATGACCGGTCGTCCCTCAATTGAGTAATGAATATTGTATGATTTTTAGGTTTAGCAATTTAACTTTGTAAAGTCGTACCCCGTAGAAAATATTTATGTTGGAAGAACACAAGAGAAGCTTGAAATCACTCGCCGAAGACTCTCAGGCCCACGTATCCGGATATTTATTATTATTATTATCATTATTGTTATTATTATTTATTTATTTTTCTCGGTTTTAGCCTTCCGATCAAACGGCTTTTTTCGGGCGTCAAAAATTCGCTGGGGTTTTGAAAGCAGTCCCCAGAGTAGTGTATACGGTCGAAACACGGACTTTTTCGAATACGATAATGTCATACATCGTACAGGGCATGCCCAGTAAGAGAAGCTACCTTTTTCAAAATTGGAGAAAAAAAATATCCATTTTCAAAATATATCGGGATACGAGTGGACGAGGCCTGAAGTTTTTCACTTTCTATCTATTAACCTTTAATGTAAACCATAAAACTGCACGTTGCTGTATTTCCTGTGAAGTCACGAGCAGTAACCTGAACGCCAGTCGCACCAATAGGAAGTTCTTGAGAAGGCTGATGAGTTGAGTATACATTTATCTCCGCATTGGGATCCACGATTACAGAGTTGTCTGTCACCTGGATATTCCATGATACCTTTCCTGTCGCTTTTCCTTTGGTTGTATCACCTATTATGTGAGGTCCAGGACACGATAACGTTGGGGACTGATAATCTGTAAATTAGAAAAATTTAATTCCTAAATATATTTAGATGCGAAAAAGGCGGTTATGCAAACAAAGGACATTAAAGGATGTGGTTAAAATGGATACTAAGTCCTAAATTCTACATGACTTGTAAGTTGACAGCCTAGATTCTAAAAACAATCAATAGCATTGCTCAGAGTAGACTACGAGCGGTAGCTACTTTGACCAGTTTTTCTCAGTCATTTGAGGGAAACGCGCGAGATTCGAAAATAAACACGCGCGTGACTGACTTCTCGGGCTGCCGCTCTATTTTCTAGCATCTCGCTGCTTCGCCTCTTAACACTCGCACGCGCGTGCACTCCCCTCACTGATTTGAAGAAAAAGATAGAGAGTGTTTTCGTTGCTCCGGCCCCAATCTCCTTGCGGTTTCTCTGCACCTTAGCCCACCTTTATTACTTCGCCGGCCCAACCAAAACCGCCATGTTACGCAGGCTACAGTCTATGCTCAAAGTTAATGGATAATCACATGAACTAAAATAAACATGGTCCTGATTTCATAAACAAATGAAGTCTTTTATTGAAATTAATTAATAAGTGGTGCATCTCATTGTCTCGTATTCTTTAAAATGAAGTTCTGTTTGCTTACCTTTCCTTGTTTGAATCAAAGTGGTGCCAGCGTTTATTACATGAACTTTCATTTTAAAGTTTTAATTGCTCATGTCCATTTATAGTTTGAAGCACTTGCTGGAAGTTTCAAATCCATTGATATCAAGCCCTTTTTTCATATTTACAAAGGGGACCTGCCTGTAAAACAGGTTGGCCTTGCACTGTTTCTAGCATTTCTTACTGAACAAGCAAAAGAATTGATTATATAATAAACCAAAAAAATGACGAAAGTTTTGCTTTTAAATTTCAAGCGCGGATAACTGATTTGAATAGTACTATCCAATTTTCCAATTTTGGTATCCAATGAATGTCAGTGTGCCTCAAAAGAAAACCTCAAACAGAAACCCAAAGCCGGAGCAAGAAACTGCCATGCTAGGCCTATGTCACGGCCTTTTTACGGATCATTTTATTGTTAGACATAATTTAAGACGCTTTTTCCTGCGAGAATAGAATGTTCAGCATGTCTATGAGTGTATTCGAAGTATAAGATATCAAAAAGGTCAGCTAAACGTTATTAAAAGGCAAAAAATATTAGTTTTAGGTCTGTATAGGTTTTGCCCACTGGTTTGTGGAATTTAAAAGATATTCAAAATTTGCTGCAAAAACGTTCTAAAATTAAACTGGTCCGTGAAAACACCGTGACACGAGCGCATGGAAGTTGCTCGCTCCCAGTTATGGACTCCTGCCTCAAACACAACACAAAGGGGACTGGAAAACGCTTACCATGGCATTGAGGAGCTTGAGCGTCCCATTCGCCAGTCAGCTGACACGTTAAAGATCTCGAAGCTGTCTGGGGTGCAGTAACATCGGTAGTAAAGCCATCAGGACATGAAAATGTGCAGACTGAAGAAAATCTCATTGACTGGCCGTTACAATTACTTGGAATCACTGTTGCGTAGCTTACAAGCGGAAGTGGAGGACAGCGAATTTCTAAGAATGAAAACAATTAAACTAATTTGCGTGAAACAAAAAGATTCGGCTGTTAGGCCATGATATTACAGAGGAATATTTCTTTTATCACCAATAACTTCTTTAAATCTACCGGCACAGAGCTTTTGGAACCCATTCGGATCTCTTAATCGGGGCTACCACCTACCCCCATTTTATGGAACAATTTTGCAGCCTCTTTTTTTAAAGGGATGCCGATGGGATCTAAGTAGATGCTGCAAATGTGAGTTGTCTACTTAGCTTTTTGGGGGGAGGGGGAGGGGTTAAGCACAAGCGGAGTGCTTCGTCTCGTACTAGATCTTTGTCGACAACGCCGTGACGCGTTCGAAACACAAGGAAAAACGAGAACAAAGAACAAAAGCAGATGAAAGGAAAAGAAAATCACTTTGTCATAATTTATGAAAAAGAAGGAAAGGAGGAAGAAGAGCGAAAAAAGGAGAAAAAAAAAGAATGGAATGAAATAGGAGACCGATGAACAAAAGCAGATGATAAGAAAGGACGCTGTTTCATGATTTATGAAATAACAAAAGGGACTTTCCCTTGAGAACATGAATATCACTGAACTAGAGAACATCATGAATTTCTAAAAAAAAACCAACACAAGACATCCAAGCCGAAAAGGTCTCTTCAGGAACAGTTGGACTCCGTAATTTGCGTTTTTCTTCGTGCGAACATCCCAAATTAATACTATTTCCATTTTTCATTCACGATCAATACAACAGAATTATTTCTTAGATAAACTAGCTTAATGTAGTTATCATAAAATGTCGAGATTAATTCTTAATTACAAATACTTACGATTACAGTAGGAAACTGAAAAGGAGTGCAACAAAAACGCCAGAAATGCAAGTTTTCTGTTAAACATGTTTGTCTCCTTAATGCTTAACACCAAAGCGTGTGAAGTTGCGGCAACCTTAGCTACCAACACTTTTGCGAGAAAAGTGGATAAAATACTACATTATATCTTGTTAACAAGGCAATAATAATTGGAGATATGCTTTTTAATTAATCCAGGTGTGAAAACAGTTTCTGAGCCCTAAGGACAATTCCAGCTGCTATATTCAGTATGGTACACACGTTTCAAACAGTGCAGAATGTTTTTATCCAATCTCCACCATTAAGTTGTATTGAAAATCAATCTCGTTCCCAGGGTCCTTTTCTACTCGTCTCTAGGGACGAATAGGAAAGGACCCTGGGGACGAGGTTGTATTGAAATTGAGATCGCTTTATTTGGATTGTAGATTCATGATGATGATGATAATGATGATGATGACGACAATGTAGAACTTCCTTCGCAGTTGATTTCCTTTGTTATCTCGATCCTTACTCCATTTCGAAAATTCTTGAAACATACAACCAGTTTAATAAATCAAGCGAATACCCGCGTTACTATGGCTTGGATCACTAACACTAACTACTGTTTGGATGACTCTTAGAGGAGGTTGGACTCGGCCCGCAAGGTATCATGGGGTGAATTATCAAATTAAGCTTCGTTCGAATCATTTGTATGGAACCTTCGAGCAGTACGGACCTCAATTATAGCACAAATTTTAGCTGCATAATCCATAAGATTGTAAACGCAAATATATGTCGTGCCAAATTGACATATATAACGTACTGTACAAGAGGTAGATGGCTCACTATTCAAGAAGATCTCCAGTATGCCAGGCCACCCTCTGTACCCTTCCGTCCCCAAAACGAAGGAAAGTTCAGCGCGCCTCCGAGTTCCTAGCAGTCAACTCTCTAGGGTTAATACCCAACGTTTTAAAATTAGTTTTTTGAACAGGCTGTTTTTCAAATATAGAGTAGCTATTTAATGTGATGTGGATCTTGAATGTTAAATTCAATGCTTCCACATGGAGTTTTTTTTAAGCCTTGTAATCCTTTCTGCTATTTTTAATGTAAATGTTCTTAGTTTTAGCATATGTTTTTGCTTAAAAAACAAAAATTATTTATTTATTTATGCAAAGAAGTGCTAAATCGGCCTAGATTTCCTTTTTTGCCCCTTCTTTTGTTTGGTTATTATTTTCTCATAATCAGCACTCGGGGAGAAATTTCGTATCTCCGCGCAGAGATACAGTAATTTTCCATGTGTCGTGAGAAAATGTTTGGTTTTGATAATGCGTTACCCTAGGTGTAAAATCACGTTTCACTGATTGTTGTCTCAGAAAGACGGCTGTAAAAGCACCATTTCTAACTAATTATCCCATTAAATCATCAAAATTCATTATCCCATGAAATCTCATTCGATGGCATGATGAGTGTTATATTTAGGATTTTCAAACACGAAAAGCCTTGTACTAGACTGCAATTATTAATATCTCAAGTAATTTCAATCAATTCCAGACTTGAAGTCAGTTTGTCTCTTAGTCTTCTTTTTCTTAAATACGAAGAAACAATTTTCACTGCTGTTGTTTGCTCAGTATTTGTAAATATACCTTGGTAAATCAGTTAAATCAGCTAAATTTGTCACTCATTTTTAATCAGCTAATTTTGGTTATATTTAAAATCGAAAAATTAATAATTATTAATAATGATTTAGAAAATTATAAACAAGTGAAAACTAACGAGATCTTGTTCTGACGTCTCGACGACCTCATGATGCCATTATCAAGGAATCGGAAGTGATTGAATACGAGTGCAGTTATAAATGAAGTAAAGCTAGACAAAGACTTTGGCACGAACAGAATTCGTCTGTACTTTCAAGCGCGGTCTTAATTGTTTGATGTGCAACATTTCGTGAACAAGACAGTCAATTTTAATAATGGAGGAAACTTTATTTCTGTTTTGAATGTACAATTGTAATTCTCGCTACGTATGGGCAATTTATATGGTTAAAAATAAGCGACGGGCATCACATGACCCCTGCACTAAGTCGTATTGGAAGTAGTATGATCTTCAGAGCTTCGCTCTAACTAATAGGTCCTTAAGAGATTTTCCCCTTCGATAAGATATGAGGGGAGGCTCCTTAAAGATTTCTCTTAGTCGTTGCTGGTTTTGTATAAGGTAGGTAAAGTGTAACAAAAGGTAGAAGTTTTTTGCGCGCGGATTTTTTTGTCACACCCGTTTTGGCCCCATTTTTGGGGCCAAATAGGCTCTTTTCATTTTACAGTGTGCTTGGGATTGAATTATTCAAAACATTTAAAAAAAAAGAAAACAAAAAAATCAAAAACAAAAAAAAATCAAAAGTCTGGGCTATCCCAATTCCTATTTCTACAACAAAAGATGAAATATGTTGATCTAATGGCTATATTTATCATTTTTTTATTACATAATCTTGCTGCTTTTTGTCAATGTCAATGTCATTCATCATGTGTAAGAACGTGGAGCATTCGTCAGAGAAGACGCCAAGGGAGCTCATTGATAGGTTTACAAATTTCACGCATCTGTAATTTCTACTCATTTCTTTGATCAAGTTCAGA